CATGTGCGTGCATGTGCGGGCCCGCGCGGCCTCCCGAAGAGAGGTTGCGCAGGCATGTGCGTGCATGTGCCGATGACAGATCTGCGATTCTCGAACACCTCCCGCATGTGCAGGCATGTGCGCGCATGTGCGTCGGACTGTGCGTGCATGTGCGTATGATGGATACATCAAAACACAGCGCACATGCCCCCGCACATGCCCGGGCACGACGTGCACAGTAGGAAGTCCATCCAAGAAGGACCGCACAGGCCTGGCACATGACTGGCACATGCCGCGCACATGCGCGCACATGACAGCGCAAAAACGGCCGCACATACACCCACCCAGGGTTATAGATGTGAGTGCGGAGTAAGGACTTCGCAATACGATGAGAAGCGCGCAGAAACCCCGGGCGAGGCCAAACGGCGCAAGGATCGCCAAGATAGATCGAAGATCTCCAAGATAGATCCGACCGCCCCAGAAATGGCGCACAACGTCGCCAAGATAGATCGAGGACAGCCCATGAAGGCCCCAGCTGGGCCGCGAATCGACCCGCGAGGGTCCGAGCTCGACCGAAAAGCCCCCGCGCCAAAACCGCCCACGGGCGCTCCGATGGAGCGCGAGAACGGCTTCGGCGGGCCTCCAGGGGGGGCCTCCGGGGGCAACAGACAGGCCGAGTGCCCCCGAACGCGCAGACGAAGACGAGGCCGAAACCGCCATGAGCTCCAGCGCGGGCCACTCGTCGATCTGCCACTGGGCGCGCACTCGGCCTCCGTCCCACTGCGCGAACAACGCATCACGCCTCAGAGTCTCCAGCGCAAGAGGGGGGGCAGAGAAACGAATCGAAAGAGCACGATGGTCCGTGATTTCGCTTAGAACCTCAATTGTCAGCGAAAAGAACTCGCGTTCGCGACCCGTGAAAGTGCGCGCCGCTGGACGGACGGACGCGGCTCTTGCGCTGGGCCGTTTTCCTGCGGCGCCGCTCGCGAGCGCCGGCGCCCCCCGGCCGAGGATGCCTCGAGTGGGCGCGGCGACCTGAAGCAACAAGCCCAACATTTTACCGGTTTGAAGACGCACCGAGAGCAGGCCCCCCTCGATGGAGTCGGCGACTTCGCAAGATCAAGGCATATCTCCAGTGTCCGTGGAAGTCTCAACCGAGCGCCCCATTTTGAAGGGGCAACGCCTTGAAACAGCATGTCCGCCATTCCATGTGTCGAGGCCGACGCGAACGAAAGCCGCGCTGTCCAAATGACGACGAAAGCGAAGGCCCCTTGGGCATCTCACATCTGCGAGAATGTCTCGACACAACCTCACTTTGAATGCAAAGCGTCTTAGAATGAACCCTTCAAGATCTCAGTGGCTAAATTGTTCTAGGACGAACCAGGCGAAACGGCCGTTTTAAAGGGAAACGTGGCGAGCGCGCGACCCGAGCGACGTCGCGCCGACGCATGGCGAGCCAAGTGCGCATGATGTCCAAGGAACAAGTGATCGGGCCCCCAGGAGAAAACGCATAAGTCTTCTGGCTCGCGCGCACAGCAAACCACGCAAACTCTCAGAAATCGTCAACGCTAATCGACGGTAGGTCGACGGTAATCGACGCTTAATCGGCGCGCCCACATCCACTCCCATATGCGTATCGACGCTTGTCGACGCTAGAACAGACAGTGAAGGCTACACCAGACTCCACTGATAGACTACCGAGACACGTCGGCAGTGCAGCGGCGACACCGTCGTGGAGAACATGCACATCACGCCGCATCGCCGATGCATCGGCGACGCAGCGCGATCCTCCGACCCCATTTCCCCGACCCCATCTGGGAGGCCTACATCCTAGCCCCGTCCTTGGGGAACCCGAGAGGTAACCGGGACGCAAGCGATGCCGCTACTCCTCGGACCTCTCCTGGGTGCGTTCGAACTAGCACGTCGAAGGGATTGCAACGGTGGCAACGAAAGCCTCCGAGAAGGCTGCCAGAGGGCACGGGCGAATGAGAGCGGTAGAGGTACATTTCCCTCCTCGTGATCCCAGACATGCGACGTCCTGATTTTTTCAGGGCGACGTCCCTGAAAATCAAAACCCTTTCCCCAAGACCGTTGCTTTTCCCGCGTTCCTTTTCTGGCGTTCCGGAGGCCCGGCGAAGGCCCCACGGAACCGAAGGTATGCAAAAACCGCCCGTCCTGATTTGAGTACGGCGCGACTATGTCTGGGGTCCTGGCCCCGTCCCCCCCTCCGCTTCTGCTCCGCATTCCTCCTCCTCGTCCTCCTCCTCCTCGTCCTCCTCCTCCCCCTCTCAATCCGCCTCTTCCTCCTCCTCCTCCTCCTCGTCATGCTTCTCCCCCTCGTCCTCCTCCTCCTCCTCCTTGTCCTCTTCTTCCTTTTCCTCCTCCCCTTTCCTCCTCCTCCTCCCCTTTCCTCCTCCTCCTCCTCCTCCTCCTCCTCCTCCTCCTCGTCCCCCTCCCCGTCCTCCTCCTCCTCCTCCTCCTCCTCCTCCTCCTCCTCCTCCTCCTCCTCCTCCCCCTCCCCCTCCTCCTCCTCCTCCTCCTCCGCCTATGAAGTCGCGTTACCTGTACCGGTGTTGGAGTGTTGCCGAAGCAGTTCTCGAAAACACTAACCCGAGAGCCGCCCACGCGACAAAAAACCAGGACCACGTGAGGTGATAACCGAAGTGCATGACCCAAACTTGCAAAGAAATATCATGCGAAACGAACAATCCACGGCAACTGCAAACCCAGAGAGGCAAGGAACGGGATCGGATACCGTGAGACAAGAGCATCGTCGAATCCAACACATAAAGAGGATGGATCGGGCGAAAATGGCAGGAGGACCGCAGGCCAGGTCATATCCGAGCCCAAAAATTGTGGGGGAAATCTGAAGAGAAACTAGCTGGACCAGTGCAGATCAGGGCATCAGTGAGCCCTGAGTCGCCAGAGCGTTCGAGGAAAAGCTGGAGGGACTTCGCGCGTGCCTCGAAACCTACAACTGCGAGGATGTCACAAGCGAAAAGGCGTGGACCGCCTCAGGACAGCGGCGCTGCATCTCGAAGCCCACAATTGCAAGGATGTCCCAAGCCAGACCGACTGGACCGCCTCGCAAACGGCACCTCAAGGACCCATCAAAACGATACTGGCTTCGCCGCCACCAGTCGGGAAAATCTCTCGCATGGGGTCTCCTAGCTCATAATCCCCCCCCGCCGTCTGGGCCGGAAATGGTCCACCGCGATTCCTCGTCCAACCCCATTTCCCCTTCGGGGATGTGGGGTCATCGCTATTCCTGGATCATGTTTGCCACCTCGCCCAAACTAGCAACCGCTAACCCGAAGTACTGCCACCCACCACGATTCAAACAAAGAAACCAGGAGAAATACTCCAGGACGGCTTCCCCATTGGAGCTCGACAACGCGATGCGATCCGTCAGAACCATGATCGTCGAAGTATTCTGGTTCTGTAGATCCGCCACCGTGCTTCAGGGCACGGAATGGGCGTGCCCTCAGGTTCGCACCATCACCCTCTCAACCTCAGTCCGTACTACTGAGGAGTCGTTCAGCAGCCTGAACCCCACACCGCAGAGTTTTCTCATGGGGAGGTTCTCGCGGTCTTTCGCGACACCGTTTCGGAGCGATGGGAACCTCCAAACAGACCAACAGGGCCCAAGAAGCACCCAAGACGGCCCCAACCGGCCCGACTGCTCAAAGATCGCCCCAAAACACCCTGCGTGGCGTCCTCAGGCCCAAGAAGCCCCCAAAATGTCCGAATACGGCATACGCTTCCCCACAGGACCTGAAGAGACACGACACATTGACTTGCCTTCGTTGGTTCACAGACTGCGGCGTTCCCGAGGTCCCGCATGCCACCCCAGCACTGCCCAAGAGGCCGGCCAGAGAACCCCATGACGGCCCCCCAAAAAAAGGCCCGAGAGAAGGAGCACAAGCCACACATCGTAACGTTCCGCCCCAAGAAGCCCCCAAGAGGCCCCAAGAGACTCCCCAACAGGCCCCAAAAGGCTGCAAGAGGCCCCCAAGAGACCCAACAGCGACCCCACGGGGCTCCAAAACTGCCCCCCAAAAGAAATCCGAGATGCAACAGAGAATCTGGAGACTCATCTGAACCCTTCCTGCCGTGCTCGGAAAAGTACCCTTCAACAAACGAATCAAACATTCGTCGCTCAATTGGGGTCGGCGGCAGAGGCGGCAGCCTCTAGATTCTTCTGTTCGGCAGCCTTATTGAAGGACTGGGGTCCGACCGATAGGGGGGCAACGAATCACTTGTTCTGCGGCACCCGCCGCGCAACAAGAAGGAGGACGACGAGGGAGGAGGAGGAGGTTTAAAACCACTCCTATTCACCGCCGAAAGAAGAGGGGGGGACCACAACTAAAGACCTTTAGCGGCTAATAAGGACGCACGGTAAGGATGCAAGGGGCCTTGGAAGGCCATGTTGACACTTTGCGAGCGGGGCGCGGCCAGCGAAAGCAGCCACGGATGTGCCGCAAAGGAAGGATGCAGGGGCAACCTTGGAAAGTCGCTCATCTTTACTATGCGGGTTGACTGTACTTGTCTTGGGGCTCGAAAGCGCCCCTCGGAGGCCGACGTCGAGGAAACACGCCCGGATACAAATCCAATCCTCGGAAATCTGGCCCTCCCCCTCTCGTCCGACGCAGGCTTCTTGGAAGCTGGGCGGGCGCTGAGGAAACCCCGCCGCCTCCTTAGAAACCTACATGCCACTCTCGCGCCGATGCCTTCTGGGCGCTGCCAACCCCGCAAAATCTGTCCTCGGTCCCCCCCTCCCAGGCCCGAACGCACGAACTTCCCGAGCTGCGCTCGGCCGGGGCGACGAAGGCCCTCCCGAAGTCCAGGTACCGCCGTCGGCCCACCTCTCCTTCTCGGGGCCCAGATCACATGCTGGACGGCAGGCTGCCCATTGCAACAGACTCGACCGCTCCTTCTAGAACAGTCGCGCCCGCCGTGAAGGAAGGGATCGGGCCACTGAGACAAACTCCGGGCCTTTTTCCGACCCCTACTCCTCCGGCCCAGGAGAGGGCCGACTCGCCAGAGGCCAGCACCGCCGCGTCCACGCCGTGCCGCTCCAGCCACGCCTCGACTTGCGGCCAACTCCCCGCCGCGATGGCGGCCTGCACCGCGCCCCGCTCCGCCGCGACGCCCTCGTCCTCGTCGCCGACCTGCGCCGGCGGCACGGCAGGAGGGCGCCCACGCATCCCACGCGCATTGAAGAAAAGCAAAACGGCACAAACACATTTTTTTGGCGTTCCGCGCGGATCTCTTGGATCCGCGCTGGAAGCCCCCTCCCCTGGCGCGCAGAGCGCGACAGGGGCGGCGCCGGGCGTGCCGCGGGGGCGGGGCCCGGCGCGGATCCAAGAAACCCGCGCGGAACGCCAAAAGTGTATGTTCACAGTCAACCCGTATCGTCAAGATGCGCGGTAAGGATGCAAGGGCCTCGGAGGAAGGCCACGCCGACACTTTGCGGGCGGGGCGCGGCCAGCGAAGCCGGCCAAGGCTGCGCCGAAAGGCAGGGATGCAGGGGCAACTTTGGGAAACCCTGCGATCCGATGTCGTGCTTTGTTCAATGCGCGACCCACGAACGTCTCGACCCGTTCCCCAAGATCGGTTTTTCATCCTGAGCCGTTGTTTGACGGTCCGGTGGCCTTGCGAGGGCCCCCAAAAGGCCAAAACATAATGGAAAACCGCCGTCTTGATTTTTCCCATGCGTTGGATCGCTGGGAGGTGGCCCATCCGTACTATGCGGGCTGACTGCATGGCGCTCTTTCCTTTGTCGAATCCAGCGCGCAGCGAACATAAGCAGAGCAAAGCGGACATGGCCTCCGCCGCTCCCGGCCCCCGCATGTGGGAGACCTCGCCGGGCCCCGGGGACCGTCCGTGGTAGACTCGGGGTGAGAGGGCGCAGATCAAGACGGCAGCTGGTCTTACACGGGAAGCCAGTCCACAAGAAATCATCCACAAGAAAACGATCCTGAAACCCTAGGACGTTCATGGTTTTGACGTGTGTGATCCGCGCGCCTTTCACAGCAAAACCACCAAACCCTAACAAAAACAAGGCACCCTGGAGGCAAGCAGGGTGCTTCGTGGCATGGGTCTCCTCTGTAGGTTGGGCATGTCCTCCTACAGGCGGGCTTCCGAAGAAATGTACATCATGACCCAACAACATCAACACAGAGCCAATCTCAAACAAGACATATCGTCACCAGACGATGTTTGTGCTATTCCAGGATACTCCTCCTGAAGACGGGCGCCCCCGTTCTTGGCCCTTGCAAAGGGGGCCTTCGCCGGGCCCCGTGCCCGGGCCCCGCGGAAAATGAGCCGAGGCCTCCGGGGGTCCACGTTGTATCGGGGACGGCGAAAATAGGTCTGGTTCCCGACGGGCGATCCCGACGGTTCCGAGGGCGCTTCGGGTCGAGCTGGGGGCCAAGGTTCGGGCTGAGGCGGGGCCTCAGGCATATAGAAACGAGGATTTCGGACATCTGCACCGGACCCCCTCCCTGGCGCGCGGAGCGCGCCACGGGCGGCGCTGGAGGCGCCGCCGGGGAACGGCCCACCACCGATCCAGGAGACCCGCGCGGAGCTTCCAAAATTAATGTTAGTGGCGCGTTTCTTGTGTTATGCAGCGTGGGCCCCACGAGGCCTCGCCGATCCAAACAATCCTCGCGGAACGCCAAAAGGTTATGTTTACGGGGTTTCTCTAAGGGACAACGGTATGGGGGAACTCGCGCAAGGGGAACGCATCGACGTGGAATCGGCGATACATTGCCGATGAATCGGCGCTCGGCCCTTGATAATAAATCCGCACCTTCCTGGTCAGGTTGGGGCTATCGGGCCCATGTCGGCGATCAGTGGGTGATTGGGGGTCAATGTGCCCCCCCCCTCTGTGCCTATCCCCCCTATCGTTGCCCATATGTTATGTTGTTCGAAAGGTCTGGCTCCAAAAGGGCGATCTCGGCGGCTCCATGGGGCGCATCGGGTCGAGCTGGGGCTTCTTGTCGGGCTGGAGGGGGCCTCGGGACCAGCGAAGCAGAAGCCTTGTCCAACGAGTCCATCTGGCAGCCTCCGAGGTCGAACGTTTGAGCAGTGACCGACGGTCCCCGCATTCCTGTAGCTTTACCACGAAATGTTCCCAAAATCCAAAACGTACATGACGAAACCGAACCGCGTTGTTAGATCATAAACCCAATGTGTTGGAAAAACAGCCTCAGCCACAAATCTTCGAATAACACGTCGCGCAGACCACATGGGGTCCTTCAAACCGTACTTGCTCGGCCTATGGGCGAACCACGACGCTCCGCCACTGTTTGAAACGCGTCGTGTCGTCGGGATTACGGGGCCGCGGCGCGGCGGGAGGGCTCCCGTCGGGGGCCTCTGCGAGACAGACTCCATGTTGCGAGGCCCGATGGATGGGCAATCGAACCAGATGCGTCCAGATTCGGCCCAAGATTCGGCCGGTTCGAGTCGGATGGAACTGGATGGAGCCGATTCGTGCCACCACGCCAGAATCGTCCGAATCCGGCCCAAAATTCAGCCGTCTCGATACGGATGGAACGGGATGGAGCGGAAATCCGCGGGACCATGCCGGATTCGGTTGAAGCCATCGAGCCGTGCAAGTGCGTCCAAACTCGGCCCAATATCCAGCCCGCAGGATCAGGCCAGCCGACGGACTGTTTACCGCCGACGCACCACGCAGAGCCGACGCAGGATGCAGCCCCCCAAGAATTGCATCCTAAGTTCGGGGAACAAAAAGCAAGAGTCGGGTTGGGGGGGGCCGGCTTTGCCCGATGGGGCCACCATAAAAATGACGACGCCCAATCTAAAATTTGACGCGAGGTCCCGCTGTAGACATCCCGCGTGAACGGGGCCGTCGTAATCCACGGCGCTCTCGTCGAACCACGTCGATAAACCCGAGTTCCAGCTTGCTCGAGCCACGCGTTTCCCCGACACCATCCATCGCCGCGGCACCCCTTGGCCACCTGACTCCGCGCGCCGCGATCCTCGGCGGCGCGCGGCGCGCGGGCTTTCTCCGCGCCCTCGCACCGCCCCCCGTGGAGGAGGCCAGCTCGGCGGCCCCGGCCGCGGCGCGTGGAAAACGGCGGCCCGCGCGCCCCATGGCTCGCGCGCAACCCCGCCGCGCGCGAGGACCGCGCCCCGCATATCATCTCGAGCACCCAGAAACGCATCGAAACGGCGTCGAACGAGCGTCGCCAACAGGGCCCCGGCGCGCGAAAGCCCCTTAGCCCCACCGGCCCAGTAGGGCGCACCCGCTGAGGGCGAGGCGGGGGGCGGACGGGGCGAGGGGGAAGGGGGGGGGGGAAGGGGCGAGGGAGGGAAGGCGGGGGGTCCTGGAATTCCGACGCGACCTTCGCGCCGTCCTCGGCATCCCGGTCGCAGCCGCCAAGACGGGAGTCACCGAACACGCGCGTGGACAGTTCGCGCGCGAGGTCGTCGTGCACGGCAACGCCGCCAACGGCGGCCCTGATATCCACAGCAGATTTCGACTCGTCAGAGTATACAGCTGGAAGGTGGAAGAAATCATGGCAAAGGAGTCGTAATGCTGAAGAGTGGAAGCGAAATGGTTTGAGAGTCGAGCCGTGGAACTCATGCCCTCCGACGGCCTGCACCGTCAGCTTGCGGCTCCTGCCCTCAGCGCTGGGAGTGCGGGAGGCGGGGCGGGGTGGGGGAGGCGGAGCGCTCAAGTGTGACATGGGGTTCATCTTCTCCGAGGGCCTGCGCACTCAGCACGCGGCAGTCGCCGCCAACGGACGGGCGGATGGGCGGACGGACGGACGGCCTGGCGGGCGGGCGGACGGACGGACCGACAGACGGACGGCCTGACGGACGGACAGGCTGACGGACCGACGAGCGGACGGACGAACGGACGGACGGACGGCCTGACGGACGGATTGACGGACGGACGGGCCGACGGACGGACGGAAGGAGCGACAGACGGACGGACGGACGGACGGCCAGACGGACGCCTGACGGACGGACTCTGCGCAGGCGCACGAGCTGGCCCATGATGCTCCATCGGGCACCAGGAGCGCTCCAAGACGGCTCCAACTGGCCAAAGAGCCCCCCCAGGAGGCCCCGAAGGTGACAACATCCTTACAAAACTGTTGGGGGAATGTATGCAATTTGCTTTCTCGCCGTTTTCGCTTTCGATGGCCATCCGAGGCCTCAAGATGGCTCCGAGATGGGCCAAGAGGGCCCAAGAGAGGCCCAGAAGAGCCCCAAGACGGCCGCAAGAGCGCCCCAAGAGGCGAAGGCGGCTCCCGAAGGGCAAAGCTAAGTAATGCTCCCCTCTTGTTTGATCGATGTCCTCTAAATGGCCCCAAAAGCGCTCCCAAGGCTCCCAAGAGCGCTTCAAGAGGGCCCCAAGAAGCGCCCCGGAGGCCCCAAGAGCCGCCCAAGAGGCCTCCGAGAGGCTCTCTCAAGGGACCCCAAAGATCAGGCCCAAAGAGGCTCCCCGACACGCCCCAAGAGGCCCCCGGGACCGCCAAGAGGCCCCCAAGATGCAAGAGAGGCCCAAGAGAGCCCCAAAAGAGCCCAAGAGCATCAACAGGGCGCTCCAGCAGGGACCCTTCATCTGCGTGCTGTCCACTTCCCTGATCGAGGCAAATCCTCGGGGCATCGTCTCCAGATGGGCTGGTGGGGTTACGCAAAACGTTGAGAATGTCGGTACATTCTTGGTGTTCGAAATTATTCAGGGTGATCAAAGCTACACTTGGTCGGAACAGCATAACTCTTGAGCGACCTACGCTAAGGTCGGATGTGGGACGAACAATGCAAACTGGCATACAAAAATCCACCCAAAGGTAAGCTACATCAGAAGAACAATCGCCCCCAGTGTACGTTTTGCCTGTGACGATTGCCTGTGGAGGGACATGCCCGACTGAAGCCTACGCGCCCCTGTCCTACCTGGGCGGCCGGGCATCGCCGGAGGCGTCCCTGGCCCAGGGGGGCCCCCAGGATTTCCCCGGGGCCCCCCCGGCCTCCAGAGGCACCCCTCGCGAGGCCTGGGGAGCCCGGTGGCTCCAAGGATGGGTCCCGAAGCTGGGGGCCCAGACGCGATCGCGAAAATATCAGCACGCGAGGTTGTTGGTCGTCTTCGGCCCCCGGGGGCCCTCGCCGGGCCTCGGGACCTTCAACGAAACGACGCAGGATGAAAAACTGGTCCCAGGGAAAGGGTCTGGACTTCCAGGGGTCTGCGGGCATGACGGTGAGGGGGGGGGCACGGGGCCGACATCGAGTCCGCTGCGACAACGGACCTGCGCCCCGACCAGGATTCCAATGCGGATCCAGCCGCAGCGAGGAGGGCCACCCCGGGGGAGGCCCACAGAGGCACAAGAGTCGGGGATGGACAGACCCCCCTTTAGCAAAACGTGGTTTAGTGAAAACGACCTGAGGCCCAAACCTGGCGGGCGCAAGCCTGGAAAATAACGGCCACGGCGCCCTCTCGAGAACCGAAAACGGACAATTCACTAATCGACGTGTCACTATTGGGGGTTCTGTCCAGCCCCGAAAGAGAGGGGGGCAGCGCTCCGGCACCCGGCGTGCCCTTGCCCCAAAAAAGACCTGGGGCAGCGGCGTGGCAGGGGGCACCGCCTGGCACCACAGCGTTCCCGCCCCCGCTTCTGGAAGAAGGAAGAGCTGCATCGACAGCAGCTTTCGGAGCTCCGCGCCGTCTCCCTGGGTCGGCGAGAGGAGGCGAAGAAGGAGAAGGAGGAGTGGGAGGAGACGAGGAGAAGGAGGAGGAGGAGGAGGAGAAGAAGCAGGAGGAGGAGATCGAGGAGGAGGAGGAGGAGGAGGAGATCGAGGAGGAGGAGGAATGGCCAACCCCTCCCCAGCTCGCGAGGCGCGCCGGGAGGCGGCGCCGGCCCGAGGAGTGCACGCAGAGCTCCGAAAACTTCTGCCTGCGCGGGGATTGCTTCTTCGGGCTGCGCTCGCGATGGCGGCCGCCACCGCCGCCCCTGCTGCCGCGTCCGGATACTCGGAGGCGGCAATAAGGGCGAATAGAGAGAGCAGGAAACCCACCCTCATAAGTATCACCCTGGCACGCGAAGAAGCCGTTTAGTAAACGCACCCAAAGAAGGAATCGAACAGGGCAGGGCTGTTTAGTGAACGCCCAGGGCCGCAGTAATTGGGTCTGGGTGGTTGTCTCTCCCTTCAGAATAGCCTAAGGGCTTGCACTGCATTCGCCTGGGAGCCTCCCCGAAGGAATGGACCATCGACGCCCCTGGATACATTTATTGCTCTCCCCATGGGCAATTCTCGGGGGCGTCCAAGAGGTGGGTGGGGGGCGCAAATCATGGCCGGCGGGAAGTGCGCGGCCAAGGGAAGATGGGGGCGGGGACGCACTGAAAAAAACAAAGCGCCATGACATCTGGGGAGATATCATGGCCCCCGCCATGATACCCACCATCCCTAGTCATCACCCCCGTCTTGGCCGCCCCCGATTCCAGACCCCCGACGTCGTGTTTCTTTCGTACCGTCGACCCCCAGAGGTCTGGACCCTTTCAAATCCCCGGGACCAATTCTTCATCCTGAACCGTTTCTTTTGACGGACACGAGGCCTGGGAAGGGCCCCCGGAGGCCGAAGATGGCGAAAAGCCTCCCGTCGTTATCATTGTTTTCTCACATCGCGTGAAGGTCTCGGAGATATTCGCCCCCATCGCCACCCCCGAGATGCGCCGCGCGCGCCCGGGGCAGCGCGGCCGGCAGGCCCGGGGGCGGCGGGCGGTGGCGCGTTGCCGCCGCGGCCACAGCGCGCGCGGAGGCGGCGCGGGCGGCGGACATGGCGCCGCCGCCGCCCCTCGGGCGGCTGCCCGCCGCGCTGTTGCTGCTGTTGCTGCTGCTGCTGCTGCTGCCTGCCTGCCTGCCTGCCTGCCTGCCTGCCTGCCTGCCTGCCTGCCTGCCCGGCGGCGCCGGGCTAGGCGTCAGACGAAGCCAGGATGAGGATCGATTCGGGTGAGGATCAGTCGAGGATCAACTCTCGGCGGCGATGAGGATCCATGGAGGATCGACGAGGACGAGGATCGATTCTCGGCGGCGAGCCCCGTTGGGGAAGTGAGAAAGGGTGTATATTCTCAGAAGGCTCGGAAGTCCCCCAGCCTTCTGAGAAGTTTTCGACGCCGTCCCCGAGGACACAGAAACCGTCTCAGAAGGCACGAAGACTCCTGAGAAGCCCCGCCGCCTCTGAGAAGGCCTTCCCCCATCTCCCTTGCCCCCCTCGGTCGCCGAGGAAATCCGGCCGAGGAAAGATCAAGAGTCTGTGAGATCTGGCGGCTCTGGAGGATGTCTCGGGCGCCGCTTGGGCGTCGCCAGTCGGGGGGCGACAACTGGGGGGGGGGGGGAGCACGGTGCACGTCTCGGGCCCCGAAGGCCCCCTCTCGGGGGGCCCCTCCTGGAAGGGGGCCCCGCGAGGGGCCCCGTGAGGGGCCCCTCTCCTGCAGCCCTCGCCGCCCCCCCGACTTCCCGCCCGCCCCCCCCCCGCTTACGCGACGCCTGAAGCAGGGGCCCGACGGCAGGAGACCGCCCACAAGAGACACACAGCCCTGAGACCCCGGGACGTCCGTCGGCTTTTTGGGGATGGGAACGTCACGCCTTCCGCAGCAGAACCATCGAAGCCCGAGAAACCCGGGACACACTGGAGGCAAGTTTCATGTTTCTCGGCATGGGTTTCCACTGTAAGCCAAGTCCTTCCACAGCGTTCAGGCACGCTCGGATAGCCTTCCGGAACGCTCTGGAACGGATTTCTCCTCGCCCGAGCCCCGCCCGAAGGTGCGCGCTTCGGTCAGCGCCCCGGGCGGCCAATCTCCTCCGCACCCTTCCCCTCCCCCCTCCTCGCTCCTCCCCTCTTCGGCCGCCTCTGTTTCTACCGACGGGCCCCTTCGCTGGTAGAACAACGTTTCTGCCCCAGGGTGCCCCCAGGATTCCAACGAGGCCCCCACTGCCTCCAGAGGAGCTCTGCGAGGCCCAACTGGCTCCCCGAGGGGCTCCAAGATGGATCGACAAGGTGGGGGCACCTTGGGCCAGGGACACATTTATCACCCCGCGACCTCTCTCGCCGTCTGGAGGGCCGAGGGTCGCTAACGCCTTGACGACCTCTGCGGTTCCTCGACTCGCGCTGAAGATTCGACGACTTCCCCACGTCTTTCTCAGCAGGGCTGGACCTAAACGTTGTGTTTCTGTTTGCTTTCGTTTTGTTGTTCGTTTTGCTTGACCTGTTTTCTTGCACCCCCCTTCCAAACGAAAATTAAACACAGCCGAAGTCCAGCAAAACAGCACTTAGGTCCAACCCTGTTTCTCAGGAGACCTCAGGATCTTTCACTTAAGGCTTAACGCGCCAGCGTGCCTTGCGCGCGTTGAGACGTGGGAGAATGCCAAGGTCTGGGCCTCGTCGGGGTTCTGCAACATTTTTCAGGGGGCGCCCCTCCTCTCCCAGCCGCACTTCGCTCTGCGCGCATCGCCCCCCAGATTCCGAGGCCATAACTCAAGGGGAACTGGGACACACAAATAAATACACACAAATAAAAATATCCCCCATATTTTTCCATATTTTCTGGGTTTTTGTCTTCCCCACCACTTCCCATATTTTCCCATATTTTCCTGGGGATCGACGATTAATTGTGTCTGTGTGTTTTTTCCCCTCCTGAATAACGCATCGCAAATGAAACACACTCGCGCTCCCGAGGCCCAAATGAGTGACGATCAAAACCCGTCGTGAGCGAGATGGCACAGCGGCCCTGCGCGGTGACACACGCGGGCCGCCAGCGCGGCACGCTAACATTGGAGACGAGGGATTTCGCGCGACCTTACTGAAGGGGCCCCAGGACACACAAATAAATACACACAAATAAAAAGATTGCCCATATTTTCCTATATTTTCTGGGTTTCTGTCTTCCCCCCCACTTCCCATATTTTCCCATATTTTGCTGGGGGTCGACGATTAATTGTGTCTGTGTGTTATTTTCCCTCCTGACTTACGCGGGCAGCTTTCGCGCGAATGTCGGCGCAGACGACCTCGTTTTCTTGCGTCGCTCAGATGCCTCCAAGACAGGCCGATATAGCTCCAACGCAGACCACGTTGGCCTCACAACGAGACAAAACCTATGGCTTCAAGACGGCAAACGTGGCCGGTGAGGCGTCCCAAGAGAGCCAAAAGAGCCTTCCCAAGAGGGCATCGAAAAGGCAAAACCCTGATGTCCCCAGGGTGTATCTTCACAAGTGTTTCGTGTGTCGCCCTTTCGAGTTTCCGACGTCCCACGACGACCCAAAAAGCCACCAGGACTGCCGCAACACGGCTCAAGAGGCACCCACGAAGGCCCCAAGACGGCCCAAGAGGGTTCCGACAGGCCAAAGAGGCGCCCCCAGATCAAGGGCCCCCCAAGAGAACTGAAAAACGTCACCAGTGGGCTCTGGGTCGGCCCAAGAGGCGCCCATGACTGCAAAAGGGAGCCCCAAGACGGCCCCAAAAAGGGCCCAGGAGTGGGAACACGAACCCTGAAATCGAGCGTTCCGCCCCTCGAGGCCACAAGCACGCCCCTTTGCCTTCTCTAGGAATTGCCACTCAGTATGCTGCGCTGGCTCGGTGGCGGAACTGCCGGAAGCAGCTGGATCCTCCCCAAGCAGGGTTTGCGTGTCAGGGCTTGTGCGTCCTGAGGGGAGGCTCCACCTGCTCGAAACAGGCGCCCAAAACAGCAAAAATCTACTCCATGCAGGAGGGGGTGCGAGGACCCGCGCCGATCGGCAAAACAGTGAATGAGAAAACGGTCGCCTGTGATTCTACCGCAGGGGGGGTCCGAACACCTCGCCTACGCAGTCAGGGGGAAGAGGAGGAGGAGGAGGAGGAGGAGGAGGAGGAGGAGGAGGAGGAGGAGGAGGAGGAGGAGGAGGAAGAATGCCGCGCACATCCCACGTTGGCCCCGTGCCCAGCCGCGCACGCCCCGTGCCCTGGGGGGCTCCGCCGCGGTGCTGCGTCGTCGGCGCCCGCGCCCGCCCGCGGGTCACCCGCCGGCGCCCCGTGCCGCGGGGGAGTCCGCCGCAACTTCGCCTCGCTGGCGCCCCGTGGCCCCGTTCCCGCCCGCGGGCGCCTCGTGGGCATCGGGTGGGCGCCCCGCACAACACTTGCTTTCTGTATACCATCCAGAGAGCGCCCAGAGGGAACGACGACGAAGGACGACGCGACGGAGGCGCGCGCGCGGCCCGCGCGCGCGGGGGCGCCCCGCACAACACAGCTCACACCATCCGGGCCGCCCTGCGGAATTTACACAACGTGGCTTCGACCACACATGCTAAACCACAGGGCTTACGCCACAAAACTCGCACAACAGTTCAGCAAATCTTGCACATCGCAACCAACACCATGTATGAAAGCACTCTGTATAACCTCCACGTCCACACCGCAATCGCTCAAGATCTGGGGTTGAAGCTAAAGCAGCACTGTTCTACACATTATGGTTCGGTTAGCGGGTACGCAGGGTGGGTGTGCGGTGTGCCGGGAATTCGCTTGGTGCCTGCCGGGGCGCTTCGCGCGTTGGGTGGGTATGCGGTGTGCCGAATATTCGCCTAGTGCCTGTCCGGGCGCCTCGTTCGCTGGCTGGGTGTTCCGTGGGCGATGATGGGTGCCACGCGTGCGTCTCGTGCGCCGGGTCCGCGTAACAAGGTTTCGCCTGGTGTTCGCCCGTTGGCGTCTCGTGGGCGCCTCGTGCTTTGGATGTGTCCGCTAAAGGTTCGAACGATGCCAGCCTATGGGCGCTTCGTGGGCGCCTCGCGCGGTGGGCGGGCGGGCCCCGTGAAGGCCCATCGGCGCCTCGCGCGCTGGGTTGGAGGTTTCGTTCGGTGCACGCCCGTTGGGCGCATTGTGGGCGCGCCGTGGGCGTTCCGAAGCTCCGCCCGCCAAAATCCCCCCCCCCCCAACCCTCAGGGGTAATGCCGGGCCCTGACTCGCGTACGCAAGCGGCCAAATTCCCGTCGGAATTCCGGCATTGCGCGCAACCGTGGTCACGAGGGCGGCCCGGGCGCGCGCGCCTCCTGTTCCTGATCACCACGATCACAACGGTTTCGGCCCTCCGCCCTGCACTGATCCCACCCCCGGAAACCAGATACAGTTGCCGTCGAATCACAACGATCGCCAATTACGAGGGCCCCCTCCCGCCCAAGAGCTCCCATCAGGGGGCTTTAAAGTCCAATGTTCCCCAGGGCCCCACCCGAGTGAAGAGAAAATATCAGATGCAACAGAGCACGCGGGACCAAACTCGCGCCACTTCGGGCGCAGTTATAAGGAATAGTCATTCGCCAAGCATATCCATACTGGTGCACCATACAAGGCATTCTTTGCACACCCGCCTCAAGCTCGCCTGACAACGGACAACCGCGCCAGGGTCGCCGAGAAGCAGTTGACGGCGCAACTTCCTTCGGTTCCCTTTCTGGTCTAGGACTGAGTATGCCCACTCTTTCGGGAACCCCTGGTCCAGTCCGTTTCCAGCGTTTTGGCGTGTGGTTGGCTATCCTCGTCAGGACCTGCCACAAGCTAGCGCGCGGGGCAGGCCGACGCTGTCACGAGCGACACCTATGTTTCCGACTGCTCAAAAACACCACGCGTACCTCTTGAATGCAAAGATACACTGCGTACGACTGCATCATGGGACTCCTCCGTGCACGCCAGAATTGCCAGAATATGTCAAGCCAGGTTATGAGTACCTGCTGTGTTGGCCTTCGAAGAAAGGGGGGAATAACTGCCCCCTCTTTCGTGACACCGCCGGCAACCGCAGCTAAGCCGGGCGACTGCCCCGTTTCCACGAGCGGACCCCAACCGCGGCCCACGAGTGTAAGCCACCCGACCCCTGCGTTAGGCGCTCGTGGATAACCAGAGCGCACCTGCGAAGCCTCCTTCTTGGTAAAGCCACCATTGCTAACTCGCTGACTGATGGGAAAAAGGCCGCACCACCGAAGACGAGCTCCTGGAGAGACTTTCGGCTGATAACCAATCATTCGCCAGGCATATCCATACTGGTGCAACGCGCAGCGCAAGGCATTATCTGCACGACCGCCTCAGGCTCGCCTGACAACGGACATCAGCGCCAGGGTCGCCGAGACGAATTAACTGCACAACTTCCTTCGGTTCCCGTTCTGGTCTAAGACTGAGCAACAGTAAGCCCACTCTTTCGGGGGCCCCTGGTCCAGTCCGCCTCCAGCGTTTTGGCGTGGGGTTGGCTATCCTCTTCAGGACCTGCCACAACCAAGCACGCGGGGCAGGCCGACGCTGTCACGAGCGACACCTATGTTTCCCACTGTGCGAAAACACCGCGTACCTCTTGAACGTAAAGATACTCTGTCTGGCTGCGTGCTGGGACTCCTGCGCGCACGCCAAACTTGCCAGAAGATGTCAAGCCAGGCTCTGTGAACCCGCTGTTTTCGCCTTCGAAGAAGCGAAGAAACAACTGAAAGAGAAAGCAACAGGAAACGCCCCGCCCAGAGGCGGGGCGGCCGTTCGACCCTCGCACACAGAAGGGTTTTTCCTCATGAGATTTGCGAAAACGACAGATATGTACTTGCGGAACACGCGGAAGATCTTCCGCGAGAGATGCACCGCCAATGGATGAACCGCTCCGTGGAGAACGCGAGGAGCTAGTCCTGGCCGGTGCTGCGCGTGGAAAGACGACTTCCATGGGCCCCATCGACGAACGTTTTTGCAGCGGCAATGAGAAGCGCGCAGCGCGTCGAGGCGGATCCATCTGCGAACGGGAGGACAACGAGAAACGCGAAAGGATGGCGCGACATCGCAAGAAGAAGTCAAACAACGAAGCCAGTAACGTCGAGGCGCACAACCCCGACGCGCCAGCAGCGGGCTGCCCCACTGCGGGATGTCCTGCTGCGGCGCCGACTCTTTCTCGGAAGGGGGGCCTGCCCCCGGGGCCAGCGGCGAGGGGGGCCCGCGGGCGGCGCCTGTTCAGGAGCGGGCGCGCGGAAGGCCGGTCGCGATCTGCCGGGGCCTCGACCGACAATCGGACGCCGGCGCAAGCCGCGCGCCTCCCGAATGCGATATGCGATGGGGCTGCAAACAGCATGGCGAACTGCAACGGCTTGTTCTGCGCTTCAGCGGCTTACCCCGAGTCGCACAGGGCCGCGTTTCACGACGCTCAGCCCAAACGCAAAAACCAAAAACAATGCGGCAGCGCAATGAAAGCACCGGGCGCCCCTGCGGGCGCAGCGCGGGGCGAACGTCGCGGCGCGCCAAAACTGCGCGAGTCATCATGGCGCCGGGCTGCCCCTTCGCAATCAACGCAGCGTTTGTTTGCCCCTTCAGCGTCTGAGAGCACTCGGCAACAGTTTGCCCCGTCGCGTGGGGGCGCGACCTCGCGCTACAGGTGGCCCCATGGCGCGGGGGAGCGGCCGTTTGGGCACTCAGCAACACATTGCCCCGTCACGCGGGCGCGACCGCCCGGCCCCCCCCCGCCTCTCGCGTTTCGCGCCATTCCGCCCCCCCCGGGCGAAGGACGACGCTGGGGGGGCGCCTGGTGGGGCCGCGCCGGTTGTTCCAATTGGCGGGGAAGCGGCGAGGGTCAGCGGGGGCCTCGGCGGCGGCAGCGTTGGCCGCAGGAAAAGACACGTCAGCGCGGACCCACTCGAACGTCTCGTTCTGAATCGTTGGATGTCGACCGCTGGCGGCCGCGAGCTAGCTTCGGCGGCGGGTTGTCTCGGGGCGGCCTGCGCGACCCCCCGCGGGAGACTGCCTCCCCGTGCGCCCTGTTTCGGGCGTGCACGGTGGTTCTCGCGCCCTGGAAAGAGTTGCGGCGGACCGTTCGGCGGCTCGTCGCCAGGGCCAGTTCGGCCTTCTACGTGCGCGCGTCCCGGGGGGGCGCCTGGGCGACGAGGGCGCATCGGTTCGCGCGTCTTGCCGCGCCCCGGTTCGGGGCCGTTGCCTTCGTTGGCGCCGAAATCCTCGGCGTCCGATTCGCCCGCCAGCCCCGTCGCCGCTTCGCCCTGAACGCGCCCCGGGCGCTGCCGCGAGCGCATTTCTAGATTGCGCGAGCCTTTCGGGGTCCAGTCGACGCAGATCTCTTCGCTGGCGGACATGGCTGAGCGGCCCCCTCGGTCCGCCATCGCCCCCCTGCGCGCCGAGCACGGGCGCTCTCTGTCCATGGGCTTTGGGGGCCTGTCGCAAAACCGCTCGCGGCCCTGGTACGGGTCGCTTCTCCCCATCGCGTCGTGCACTGCCCATGTCGCATTCAAGGTCACGAGCGGGCTATGTTTGAACCCTGGCTAGGGAATCAATATGGAAAACCGATCGCGGCTTTCATTCCCAGGGGCGCGTATCCCCAGTCCTCGACGCACCCGCGGACATTCTCATCTCGCGCTCTCACAACCTGCAGGCGGCTGAACACAAACTTGCACCGACCTGCATCTGGCAGCGCGCGTCGGCCCGGGATCGCGAAGCGGATCTGGCGTCATTTTAACGCGGCGGCCGCTGGTCTTCGCCTCCGCCTTCCGCGCGTTGACTCTCCACCTTCCGCGCCTTCCGGTCGTCGTTTTTTGCTTTTCCCACATGTCACTGCCAGCCGCGGCGATCGAATGCCCAGTGTTCGGTGGCGCCTGCGAAAGGCGCGCGGTATGTTGCGGCGCCCGCTATCAGATACGGAAGCTTGTCGAGTCTGCCAGTCTCAAAACAAGCCGTCTGGCGCACGCGCCTGTTTCGACGCTCGCAAGGGCGGCGCAGCAGACAGGCGTCGGCATTCAACCAGATCGGTTCCCTCGCAATTCGGCTGGCCCAGCAGCGTCCAAACTGCGTCTTCGGCGGCTCTCTGCCGCTCGCAGTTTGACGATCCACCGCCCGCGCCGCGAAGTTTTTGCCCACTGAGGTGCAGGGGGGGCGCGCCCTCGCCAGCTGTCCTGGACAGGAGATCGGGCCCACGGGCTGCTGCCAGAGCGGCGGGCCATTGCTGGCCAGGGGTCAGTTTTGGGGGCGTGGCGCAAGCACCGTAGCTCTGCTGATTTTGTCTCTGCCACTTGCCCCTGGCGCGGGCCACTCCGTGCTCGCGGTTTCTGTTCTCATCCGCCGTCTCTCGCGCACTTAGCGGCGCGTTGCCTCGCCGCGGGCCGCAGGCGCGCCGCGCGCGCGGCAGTGGGTCGCCCCTTTACGGCCGCCCTCGCCGGGGGCACGAGGGCGCACTGCTTTTGTGCCATCGGCAACATAGTCTCAGCGATTCCCCACTCCACTAGCTCCTTCGGCTTTGGCGAGATAGACACAGCGCGTGGCGACGTCGTTGCTGGGCTCGCGCGCCTCGCGACTGGCGACGCGCGTTCAGCAGGCATCGCGGAAAGCTGTCTACCCGTTTCGATTTGGATATCGCCCTCTTCCTCGTTGACCCTCTCGGTCAGTTCATCCAAGCTGGCAGATTCAGCAACAATTGCATGTCTGATTCTGTCCATGTTTCCAGCGTTCGTCGTAGCACCGTCAGCTGGTCTTTGCAGCCTTTTGCTACATGTTCGTATGCCTCCAATATGTGGCACGTGTCTCTGACCTGTTTCTGGCCCATTAGCGCACTTTCGCGCATGAAGATTACGTCTTTGCTTGCAGAGGCTTGATCATCCACGCCGTTTAGCTGCTTTCGGAGAGCGGCTCGTATCGGGCCACTCTCGGCGGCCGCGGTTTATGCGATTTGACTATTTATCTGCTCCTGTTCTGGGCTCTTGGCGAGCTCTTGCGTTATCGAAGATGGCGCTGTCGTCTGGAACCGTTGCGGCAAATCGTCGCGCTCCTGCTCGGTTTCTAAATTGCCTTTCGCAATTGCTCTTGAAGGTCGATGTCGCTAACTTGTTGTCGCTGCCGTTGGTGCTCACGGCCGGCCCCTGGCACTTTGAAGCGCCAAGACTTCTGCAGCGTGACGAGCATCTGCGTAAATGGCTGGGATGACTGCACGCGGTCGATTAGCCAGGTGGGCCATTTGTCGAGCTTCTGCGGCGACGGCCCGAAGTTGCCGCTGGTCTCCGCGCTCGTCGTCTGCCGACGCGCATTCAACGAAAGCGCCGAGAATGCATTGAGGTATTTCCTTGCTCCTGCTGAACCAGTTCTTAGCACTGTAAAGAAAATTGCAAATTCATCCGGTCGTTTAGCACCAGGGGGCGTCAGTTCGACGCACTTGTGTCTGAAATCCACAAGGCAGGTTGGCAATATGTCATGCCTTCGCGTGGCCGTCATGTTTTTTTTTGTTTTGTCGATTGGTTTGGGACTTCGCCTAAGGTGGCTGTCATGGAAGCAGTGTTTGGTTCTGGGGTACGACCACGGGGGTGGAACATGTTGCCAAAAGGGGAGGACATGTAGCCCCCCGCCGTGTTCGTGGCTCTTCCGAATTCATTATGGACACGGCAGGACGTCCCACAGCAGCGGGTGGCCACCCCTGCGTCGCCCGAAACGCTTGTTCGCCCAAGCGAATCGCACGAACGCGCGTTGTCGGAGGCGTTTGCGGGCGTCGGTTCATCGACTTTTGAAGGCATCAGCACCTGTTTCGCAAACTGTCCCCATCGTGCCGGCGTGAATTGACCAATCGCGTGTCAAAGCGTAGCCGTCAGCGGTCCCCTCCGTCTCGAAAGGGGTGTCGGGGATGACGGTCTCGAAATTCGCATCTACCGTTGCCCAAATGACCATGTTGGTAACCCGTGTTGCACAAGTGCATGGCTGACGGCACCGTTTCGCTAAATTGGTTTGCGGTGTTGGGCAGCTTTAGCTGATTGGAATCTGGTGTTGTACCGCTTCGGCGAATAACCCTTTCACTGGGCTATCTCCACCACCCGGCCAAAATCTTGCTGACCTCAGGGGAAACTTTGGGCCCTGCCTGGCTTATGAAGTGGCCCGAATTCCCGTCAGCATATCGAACTTGCGCCCAACTGTGGTCGCGAAGACGGCCCAAAAGAAACGGGGCATGGACAACGCAAGCCGTTCGCAGTAGTTCCCGGCGGCGGCGAGGTCCGCAAGCGCGGGCGCGCGCCGCTTGCTCCCGCTCGCCTCGAGCACACGTGCTTCGGCCCTCCACCCCGCAAGCAGGAGCAGCGGCAGGAGGAGGGGACGAGGAAGGGCGGAGCGTTAAGTCGGGCTGGTCCCTCTACAGGAGGAATGTTCAAAAATCGTCAATAATTAATCGGGTGACTACGTTTTGCATATTTTCTGACCATTTTGGAAAATTTGTTGACTTTTGTTTGTCATTGTTCGTCGGAAGTCCCCCTGTAGGGGGACACGCCCGACTTAAGCGGAGCGGTGGGGGGTCCAAGACGGACCCGCGACCCCCAGAAACCCGGACGGGGTGTCCTTCAAAAGAGAGCGAGCGCCAACATTGAGGGGTACACCACAACTCGTGCGCTGGGCGGCCGCATAGATGGCGCTGCCTTTTGTCATGATCGTTCGCGCGTGCACCACATAACTTTCACCACATAGCTCACACCACACCGCGTACAGCACGCATGTCGAATCCAACCTACACTACATAGCTTATACCACGGAGCCTGCACCGCATAGCGTTCACCGCATAACGTGCACCGCATAGCTTGCGCCGCATAGATTTCACCGCATTGCTTGCACCACATGGTTTGCATCACCCAGCTTGCACCACATCGCTGACAGCACAACCCTTGCGAGCCCACAGCGCAGTCCTCACAGCTTGGGGTCCACGCTGGCGGGCATGCATCTGGACTTACGTCGAGCAGCGTCGATCGAGTTGCCTCGACCTGATCAATTTCCTCCTGGCAAGTCCACTGGAGAAGAGTCTTCACCTTCCAATGCGGCAGTCAGGCAGCATCCTGACCCCGTGTGAGGAAATGACAAATGACAGAGGAACAAGCAAAGCACATAAACATAAACTTTTGGAGGTCCGCGCGGATCTCTTGAATCTGCGCTGGACCCCCCCTCCCTGGCGGGTGGATCGCGCCAGGGGCGGCGCCGGAGGCGCTGCCGGGGTGGCCCAGCGCGGCTCCAAGAAATCCGCGCGGAGCGCTCAAGCTTATGTTTATGCCGTCTTTTCCCCTTCGAGAGGAGAGAGGAGAAGGGAGGAGAAGATGGAACAAGGAGGAGCAATCCCCAAACGACCCCCAGTGACTGCACTGGAGTAGCCCCTCAGGGACGAGGGGGGGCCGCTGGCAGCCCGAAGCCGAGGAGTGCCTCCGGAGCCTTCTCCCGCTCGCGCCGCGCGCGGTCGCGCGGCCGCCCCGCCCCAGATCGCCCCGTGCCACGTCCGAAACCCTCCCATCCCCCGCCTTCCCCCCCTGCCCTCCCTGCACAATTACTCAATATGAATACTACTCTCCTCCTTCCCCTGATGACGGGTTGGGAGTGTTCGCCCCCCCCACGCGCACTGTTCTTTTACACACAGGATTCCCCGGAGTTGGGTTTTCGCCTGCATTTTTTCAAAATGCTGCTCTCGCTGAGGCGCCGGCTTCAATTTCGGGCCCCGCTTGTTCCGAATCGTGCTCCCGCTGCAGCGCTGGCCTCATTTCCGTGCTTCCGCTCGTTCCGAATCGTGCTCCCGCTGCAGCGCTGGCCTCATTTCCGCGCTTCCGCTCGTTCCAAATCGTGCTCCCGCTGCAGCGCTGGCGTCAGTTCCCGTGCCATGCCACGGCATGCAATGCAATGCTAGGTTGCGTTCCGCTGCGCGATGCCATGCCTTCTGCTGAAGCTGTGATATGCAGTGCTTACGTGCCACGTCGTGCTATGCCATGCTACACTTTGATCTTCAACGCCGTGCTATGCAATGTTATGAACGGGGCCGCTGTGCGATGCCATGCTTTGCGTTGCAAAGTTTTGTGATGCAAGTCTTCACTACGCCACGCCACGCCATGCTGTGACATACTACGTTTTGCGGTGCTCTTCTACGCCATGCCATGCCGTGCTCTACAATGCATCGCGTACCCTTTCGGGATCACTGCCCTGCTCGACATCCGACTGTGCGAGTAGAGAGGGGATCTACGCCATGGTAAGGGATGGGAGGGAGGGGTAGGATGTCAGATACAACGCGAGCGCACCTAGCTTGCCTCCCCCCCCTCCCCTCCCCCCCTCCTCCCCCTCCTTTCCCCCTCCCCCCTTCTCCCCTCCCCTCCTCTCCCAAATGACCCAATATGAATACTAAATACTACTCTCCTCTCTCCCCTGGTGGCGTCCTGGAAATATTCAGCCCCCCTCCGCGTACTTGTCGTTTACACACAAGATTCCGGACCTTCCAGATAGGCCCGAAAATCTTTAAACATGCCCCCCTCCCCACCCGGAAAAACCATCGGAACTGTTCACGCATTCGGTGTCGATGTGTTGATCTGTTTGGCAGCGGAAGCACCCGCCGCACTTTGGGGCATTGTCGTTTTCAGGCAGTATCAAACGGGAGCCCCGTTCCTGCTTTGAGAAGGCGATGTTGGTAGCAGGGCCAGCGGGTGCTCTCCATCAGCCCCGCCTTGTGTGGAGCTTTCCAGGGAGTCCAAGGAGCTTGACATGGAGCCACGACTCCAGACGATCCATTTACCCTCCAGGGAACCCGGCACCATGTCATGACATGCTGTGCGGTGTTGCGTTCTGCGCCGCTGTGCGATGCCATGCTTTGCGTTGCAATGCTTTGTGATGCAATGCTTCACTGCGAAACGCCACACAATGTTATGGAATGCTACGCTCTGCCGTGCTCTTCTTCGCCATGCCACGCCGTGCTCTACAATGCATCGCGTACCCTCTCGCGATCATTGCCCTGCCCGCCATCCGACTGTGCGAACAGAGACGAGATCTACGCCATGGAAAGGGATGGGAGGGAGTGGTAGGATGTCAGACAGTGTCGCGAGCGCACCTAGCTTGCCCCTTCCCTTCCCCCTCTACCTCCCCCTCCCTCCCCCCCTCCCAACCCCTCCCCCTGCCCTCCCTTCCCCCTCCCCCTCCCCTCCTTCCCCTCCCATCCCCCCCCCTCCCTGCCGTCCACATCCTGCCCCCATAAAGCTGAAGTATCGAATGTCTGTGGCCTGGGAGAAACCCTCGCGGAGTTGTTCGTGCCGCGCTCGAAGAGCGCCGGCGCCCTCGGCCGCTATAAAATCTGCACACCGCTAAAGAAACCAGAAAATCGAGACGCCATCTTGTCTTCTTCTAGCGCTGGCTTCCCCCCGGCCCCCCCCAAAAAAACCGTCTTCCCATGCGTCCGACAGGCTTCATCGTCTCGAGTCGCTGGACTCACCGGCCTGGTGGACTGCCTGCATGCCTGGCTGCTCTTGTGATCCGAACGCAGCAGCGGCATTTTCGCGCAGCGCCCATGCGCACTGCGTCTGTTTGAGCGTTGTGGCATCGCTCTTGGTGTGGAGACAAGCCTTCAGCGCGGATTTTCTGTGGAACCCACGCATCCCCGCCCCTTGCCGCCAAACCCGGACCCTTGAACTACGTCATAGGCTATGTTTGCTGACATCCAGGATAGCTCCTGGACCCAACATGAATATGCAAGGGCCCGCCACTGCCGTCGCGATACCACTACCACCACTTCTACTACGATCACACCCGCGACTGCTACTGCTGCTGCTGACCCTGCTGCTGCAACTGGCAGTGCGCTGCTGCGCTACCGAACTGGTGATGCTGCTGCGCCTGCTGCTGGACCAACTACAACAACTATTGAGCAGGGACAGACCGTCCCGACATTCTTTTAGGCCTAGCACGACATATTCTTAGAACACCAAAATGGTCGAATAACAAGAACAACGTTCTTAGAACATACAGCCGATGTGTTAACACAAGACGGTCTCAGCCAGACGTGCTCTAAGAACATGTAGCGCAAATCACGCAGGCTTCTTAGAACAGTGTCTGGTGGGCCTGCAGGCAGAGACGCTTCGCCACTGCTCGAAATTACAACCACTACGACCTCTGCCGCCTTGGCCACACGGAGACTACCACGGGCTTTGGCCCCGAGGCACAGCTGGCGAGATTTGCTGAGCTCGAACACGAACAATGTGTGTTGCACATGTCGGTCGGAAGAGGTATGCTAAAATATGAAGTAGGAAGGGTCATAAACTAGAGTGGGTTCAGGCCCTCCCAGATAATGACAAAACACAGTAAAAATGTATCGACTCTTGAAGTAGGAAGGCGCTTGAAGTAGATTATGAACAAGGCATCCAGAAATGCCAACTTTCAATAACAAAGAACGTCCACGCACACGCGCATAAACACCAAACCTCCCCTCTAGAGGATCCGGCACTTGCACGTCGCAATCACCAGCCCATGAGCATCTTGTCCGACTAATTGTGTTCCCCTGCCCACGCGAACATGAATCGTCCTCCCTGCCCTCCTCTCCCGGGCACAAGCTCGAAGCCCTCGCCTGCCCTAGTGACCTGTAACTCGCGGGCCGCACTAATCTCCGCCATCGTCGTCGAGCTCCGTGTTGATGAGGCGCTTTCGGCGCCCTGTACCATGGTCAATCTTGTACCGGTTTCCACCCTCGTCTTCTATCACCTCCATCCGCTGGCTGACGCCTCGAACCCTTTTCTGTGGCTGCAAGCCTTCCGCCCGGACCAAAGTGTGGTCGTCACGGTGACCAAATACCCAAGCACCAGACAAAAAGTCGACCCTGTACGGCACGGCGTCGGGGAAATGACCGGTGCTTCCCCCCAACTCCCAGAACGAAACTCCAGGAAGCTTCGGCCAGACTTCGCTAATCACGCCGGCCACCCACTGCTCTAAGCCATCGTCAGCGTTGCTGATTCGGCAAACTACCCTATCGCCGAGTGAAAAGCGCAATTTCACCTTACTGTATTCTGCCACAACGCGCGCAGCAGCTTTGACCAAATGCAGTTGTTTCTGTGGATCAAAACATACCTCTTGTATGCAGCAACTCTCTTCGTCGAGAGGCACTGATATGTTTCTGCTCGGCAGTCCTGGGAGTGGGTCAGTCTTCACTAAATATGGCAAGAACCCCCCTGCATCGGGAAGATTTGTTTCAACGATGTGCCCAGGTACCCAGCGGGGCCCGAGGTTGCAGAGAACGCGATCATTCAGCCCATAACGCAATTTCACCTGCATCACTTGCATGTCTAAGACGATTGTATCTCCACACTTCAGATGCTTAGTCACAAGATCTTGGAAGGGTAGCTTGTGCTCAACCTTGGGGCGCCAGACAGCACGGGTCTGCACCGAGGTGGGGTCGGGGCCTCCAAAGTCTTCGTAAAGACGTTCGACCTTGAGGTCGATACGATCGGTCAGATCCATGATGGTCGTCGATGGTTCTACAGACGCGAACTCGTATTCCTTAAGAGCGTCATGCCATGGCACAGCAAAACCAGCTCGCTTGAAGTCTTCCAACGTCTGCTCCGTAAACTCAATGGTGAGCTTGATCGAGAAAGCCATGCTGTGAAAGAGTCGGCCTTTACGTCAGCCGACATATCCACGGACGTCAACCAGACAACCTGAGCCAAAATGGCTCCAGATGACAACGACGATTACGACCGCAAACGCGGAAGCAATTAGGCAAAGAGGACATGGACAACAAGCGACAACCACTGCTGCATACCAGGATGGCGCAGACGCCCCCTACGACGAGATAATGACCATAAGATGGCAGCCTCGGACACACATTGCAGATAAGTGTTAGTGGCCGACCATGCAAGTGCAGCACATGTGCAACAACATAGATTGTGAGCACTGATATCTCGTTCATCTGCTCGACAATGATGGTGTTCTTTTCACGTCAGGCTGTCAACTATGCGCATGATGTGAACTCAATCGCACAACCAAAAATCCTCGTGAGGTAATTCGGCCACGGTGCAGTTCCGTGCAATTTGCGTATGGGAACACCTTTTTAAAGGTCCATGCACCACCTCATTGACGGATGTGCTTCCTGGTGTCGCGCATGTGTAGCCAACGATGTATCCGACCTCGGGGGCAAATGGTTCTTGTCTCGATGCCCCACTCGCGAAGGAAGCGGCACCTCTCACAGCCTCCGCATCATCACCATCACCACGATTACCATCATCAGCAACGTCATCATCATCATCATCATCATCATCATCATCATCAACAACAACAATAACATCGTCATCATCGGCAACATCATCATCACCACCACCGCCATCCCCACTACCAGCATTATCGATGTCATGTTCAACAGTATCACCATTACCAGCACAGCGAGCATGAACAGCATCAGCGGCAGCATTACCAACCAACGGGTTCGTTTAACACCATCCAAGTGGGGCTTCCAGAACGACCATTGCACGTAGGCTCCTAGTGAACCAACACCACAAACTGTCGTCACTGATTGGTTCGTACGGCTCCCGAACGTAAAGCTGGCGTCCATTCCAGCATCCACTAATGCCTCACAATCTTATGATTTGAATCCCAGCCAGATATCGGGAACGCTGCATATAACAGAAACAAGTGTGATTGACATGCGGCGCCCTGGATCGACGTCGCTGTCCAGCCACAACAAGTCAGCGAAACTCCATCCTCCAGGCGGTGGCGGTGTAGAAACCTCCGCCTCGAACGCGCTTTTTGTCCCGAGCGACGCACCCTCAGCGGGGGAAAGTTGCTGTCGAGCCCCGTCTAGAGACAATATCCCCGCCCCGAACAAACTCAGGAACAAGTCCGCCGTCATTGGCTCGCTGTTCGGCATGCCCCAAGGTCTGCGACCGTCGCACTTCACCACGTCACGGCTAAGTCCAAGCGGTAGAGATAGAGAGGGAGCCCATATGTACATACAGATCAGTGTGCATATATATATATATGTATATAGCTTCCACCTCAGACTACACATGCGCCTATGCACATACACATCCTCACACCTATATACATATATATGTGTGTACGTGCTATATATATACATATATATATATGTACATATAGGCTATACATCAGCGGACGACGCACTCCATTTATACTTCAAACATACATGTATATACGTATATATGTGTAAATATGTAGAGAGAGAGAGAGGGAGATGTGTAAACACACAAATGCAGTCGAGTTTGATTGGAGTGGGCACGAGAGGACACGGGACCCTTCCGAGGGCAACGCTGCCCCAGGCATGCAGCGGACATGGGACGCGACACGCAGGACACGAGGGCACCCTTGCCTCGGAAAGAGAAGCCCACGACTCAAAGAATCGTCCCTGGGCGCCGGGCGGTAATGTATTACCTCCCGCGACGCCTCTAAGGGCGCCCTACGGGCCCAACGCCAGGAGGACTCGCCACTGCGCTCCTTTGTTCCGCTCGGCTGACTCCTCGCTTCTGCGTGCGAACGGCACCTACTGACAACTACCAAGGCGAACGCACCCAACTACCACCCGGGGAGGATGAGGAGGATGATGATGAAGAGGAGGAGGAGGAGGAGCAGGAGGAGCAAGAGATGAAGCTCGTCGCCGCCCCCCGATCTCCGACGTCGTGCTCTATTTCTCGATGCGAGCCCACGGAGATCTCGAACTCGTCCCCAGGGCATTTTTTTGTCGTGGCTCGGGGTATGACTGCCCAAGCGCCAGACAAAACAGGCCATAGGGTGCCCCAGACTGCGGAAGTTTGACATGAATCGAACACGTCATGCGGGGGTATCTTCAAAGTCTCTGGGAATCTCGTCGGGATCTCCAACAATTCCCTGGAAGCTTCGAGGCCTTCGGAGACCTCCAGAAGCCTCCCCCCAAAAGGCTCCCAAACCTTGACCCTCATCCTCGGAGTCCCCCTCTTTCTCCTGCCAACCCCTCCTCTTTCTCCTTCTCCTCCACCTCCGCAGGAAGTGAAGTGGTCCTTCATCCTCCTTTTCTGTGCTGCACCGACGGTGATCGAAGCGATCGCCGCGTGATCGAAGCGATCGCCGCGTCTGAGCCTCCTCCTCCTCCTGCCCCTCCTACTGCCCAAAAGATCCAATGTCCTGATTTGCCAAAGCGTAGTCCCCGGAAATCTCGACTCCCCCCCAGGGACGGTCTTATCATCTCGAGGCCGAAACTCTCAATGCGTTGGAGGTCTGGGCCTCCTCCTTTTCCTTTTCCTCCTCCTCCTCTTCCTCCTCTTCCTCTTCCTCCTCCTCTTCCTCCTCTTCCTCTTCCTCCTTCTCCTCCTCCTCCTTCTCCTCCTCCTCCTCTTCTTCCTCTTCCTCCTCCTCATCCTCCTCCTCTTCCTCCGCCTCCTCCCCCTCCCCCTCCTCCTCCTCCTCCTCCTCGCCCCTCATTTGCCCTCCGTCGTTGGCTCTCCGCTTGGAGGCCAGAGCTCCGAGCACAACTCGGAGGCCTCCACGCAGCCGTGCTGGACGAGCCGCGCCCCCCCCCCCCCGAAAACAAAAAAAAACTCTCGGCGGGAGCGCAGCTGCTGGAAAAGGCATCCCGAGCCATGAGCACCTCCAGGGCCGCCCGAGAACCTTGAGGGATGAGGAGGAGGAGGAGGAGGAGGAGGAGGAGGAGGAGGAGGAGGGACCAGCACGCGCTCCGCCCCTCGCTGGCCCCCCGCGTCAGAAGTCCAGCAACATCAGCTCCACCTCGCGGGCGGGTGGCCGTGGGGGGTGACCTCCGTTGGGGGGCGGAGGACAGGGCCCTCAGGGGTAGAGGAAAAAGAACTATGCACATGCACCGATTCTGGCCAGGCCCATCCTGAGCCCAGGATCGGTGCATACGCCCGCCTACCTTGGCCAGGAAGGCATATGCACCGATCCTGGGTCAAAGATGGGCCTTGCCAGGATCGGTGCATGTGCATAGTTCTCTTCGCCCGACAGGGGGATGTGCAGGGCCCCCTTGGGAGCCAGCAGGGGCCAAAAACGATCCCGAAGGGCCCCTTTTCGGGCATGGACAGACCCCCCTTTAGTAAAACGTGGTTTCGTGAAACCGACCTGAGGCCCAGACCTGGCGGGCGCAAGCCTGGAAAATAACGGCCACGGCGCCCTCTCGAGAACCGAAAACGGACAATTCACTAATCGACGTGTCACTGTTGGGGGTTCTGTCCACCCCCGACCTTTGGGCCAATTTTTTCGTGGCGGCGCGCACAGGGGGGTAGGGGGAAGGGGGGGCAGGCCTCTGAGGAGGCGGCTGCTTCTCAGAACGCGGCGGCCCTACATCCATACTTGACACGGCCCGCGCCGTCTGAGAAGCAGGGTCCTACTAAGAAGCATTCCCCCTTCCCCTGCCCCCCTCTGCGCTTGGCTGATTGTCTTCGCCTCGCCTCTACACGTTGGTCGAAGGAGTATGCAAAAACAGAACGTAGGAAGGCGGATCAAGTAGGTCGGGTTCAGGACCCCCCCGAAAATGACAACACACACAGCATCAGCACATCGGTTATTGAAGCAGGAACGCGCTTGAGGTGGATTGGGATCTGGGAGTCCAGAAATACCCCCTTTCAACGACCGGCGTGTAAGTCACCCCCAATTGCCAACCGCCCGAACCTTCGCGCCGCTCCGGCGCCTCGCTGACGGCGCGCTCTGGGCGGCCTGCGCGATGGAGCGGATCTGCTCGCTCTTGCGGGCGTCGCTCTGCACCTGCCGCAGCGCCTCCGCCACGCGCTCCTGCGGGCTCCATCAATCTCGGCGGCGAGCCCCGGGGGGGAGGTGAGACGGAGCGGGCCTTCTCAGTCGGGGATCCTCTGACCCGGGCCAATCCAGGCCTGGGTCAGTCGGGCCTTGCAGGATCCTGCAAGATCCTCCAGGATCCGGCGCCCTGGCCCGGGTCAGTGCGCCCCTGACCCTGAAAGATCCTGCATTAAACGGCGCTCTGACTGACTCCCGTTTGCATTGACCCCGTCTCTTGAGCCCCGGCTCAGGAGGCTCAGACGACCCCTGGCCTTCTGACAAGTTTCCTAGGCCTGCCCCGAAGACGCAGAAAGCTTTTCTGGGGAGCCAGAGGCCTTCTGAAGAGCCCCGCCACTTATTGACAGGGCCTTCTCCCTTACACTTTCACCCCTCGCCAGCCGCGGGCAATCAATCACTGGTGCCGTGCCTGCACGACACCTCGGCTATAAAGCGGTGCCGCTGGCTGGACGCGCGTGTGTCCGCCCGGGCACAGGGCAAGAACAGTTCAGATTCGGATGACCCAGCCCCTGGCGGCAGGGAGAACCTGACAGCTACAGCCTAAGCTGAGATGCGTCGGAGCCGGAGGAGGAGGAGGAGGAGGAGGAGGAGGAGAAGGAGGAGGAGGAGGAGGAGGACAGGGGACGAAAGAGGAGGAGGAGGCGGAGACGGAGGCGGAGGAGGAGAGGGGACAGTTTTCGGTGGGACGATGCTGTGGGGGGGACCGGACCTCCGACGTCATGATCCTTTCAAGCGCGACAGCTTTCTATCACCGGCGACTTCCCACGGGCCGCTCGTGGCCCCCTGGGACCATCAGCATGGACCACCAGCCCAAGGAGGGGGGGGATCGGGAACTCTGGGGCCGCAGCAAACAAACCGTAGCGGTGGATGTCTGGGGACAGGCTCAGGGGAACCGGCAAGTACAGCCGGCCCGTATCATAAGGATGCGGGATAAGGATACAAGAGCCTTGGGCGTCCATTTCGAAGCTTCTCTAGCGGGGCGCGGCCAACGAAAATGACCAAGGATGGACCGAGGAAGCAAGGATGCAACGGTACCCTTGGGAACGTTGTCCCACCCCTAATACGCGGGCTGGCTGTAGATAGGGAGGGGCGTCCTCCTCTTCCAACGGCCTCTTCCACCATGCTCTCACAGCCTTCCTGCTCCTCCTCCGTCCCATCCCCGAACCCGATCCTGGATCCTCGATCCTGGACCGGAGGCTTCCCGAGTGGGTGCTGCGCAGAGGGGGGCGGAGAGTCGCGCCCCATCGCCGATGCACCGGCGACGTCGGGACGGAGGGCGAGTAACTGTGGATCGCGCAGCGTGGCGATGCGGCGCGATCCTCCGGTCCCGCATCAACTGTAACCTCATGCGGGAGGCCTGGATGGGACCTCCTCCCTCTCCGGCCTCAACCCTGAAGGGATCCGAAAGGGGGGGCGGGCGCAGGCTGGGACTCCCACCGGCCCTCTGGGCGCACGTGGTTTAGGAAGTTTCCTCTTCCACCTCTCCCTTTTCTTCTTCGGGGAAGGGTTTATCACTGTTCCCTATCAATAAACACCACCTCCCCCAGGCGATTGGAGCCAACCAAGGACAACGCGGGCACACCCCCCATCCTTTTTTTATAAAAATACCCCGACGGAAGGACCCCACATGATAATCCCCTGGGCGAATCTGGAAAAAGCCCTCACAGTCGTCCTCGTGGTTGGTGAGGCGTCCTGGCTGTCTCTTCTGCGTATATTTATTCTCGCCCTGGCGCGGGCCCCCCCCCCGCTCCCTACGTTGCCCCCGACCTCGCACTCCTGTTTTTTTCACGCCCCGCGACCTCCTCGCCTTTCCACTGCATGAGCGCGCGCGTCGGTTTTCCTCGGCGCCGTCGCCGCCTCGGCCAGCACAGGCGCGTTCTCTCATGGCCTCGTCGCGCAGCCGCTGGGACAACTCCGCGGGCCAGGCTGTCGGGACAACCCCGCGAGCCGCTTACGCGCAAGACCAATCCGCTGGGATAACCCCGCGGGCTTCGAGCGGGGCGCAGCCGCGCTCAGGCGGGCAGCGCGAAGCCCAGCTCTGCCGCGAGCTGCTTCGCCTCCGCCCCAGACAAAACCGCTCTCTCGTCGAACTCCAGGAGCGCCTTCCGCAGGGGCGCCGGCGGCCCTCGCTCCAGGAACTCCAGCGGCGGCGGCCGCAGGACCAGCATGTTCCTCCTCCTCCTCCTCCTCCTCTCCTCCTCCTCCTCCTCCTCCTCCTCCTCCTCCCTCCTCTCCTCCTGCTTCTCCTCTTCCTCCTCCTCTTCCTCCCTCCTCCTCCCTCCTCCTCCTCCTCCTCCTCCTCCTCCTCCTCCTCCTCCCCTCCCCTTCCTCCGCCTTGCCCTCATCCGCCTCCTCCTCCTCGTCCTCCTCCTCCAAAGCGGTCCTTGTGTCAGCGTCCTGGCTGTACCGATGCCGCGACTCCCCGGACCTCCCGTGCGCTCTGACCAAGATGTCGGGGCGAGTCCACCGGCGGCGGCGAGGGCCGCCGAGGCCCCAATATGGTGGTGGAACACGAGGAAAGGGTAGCGGCAGGGGCACCCTTTTTTCCTGCTCTGAGCTTCTGCTAATGCCAAGCCTTGTCTTGTTCTTCGGGCTCCACTAGGGCTCCCAACTTCGCGCTCTCGCGCCACCTCCCTCCTCCTCTGAGCTTACTCCAGATCTTTCAATAAGCATCCCAGCGTGCCAACCTGTCCGACGCTCCTTGCCCGCCCCCCCACGCGCCACAAACCCAACCCCTCTCGCTCCCCAACCTCCCCACGCCCCCCGAAGGACAGCGGCTTCCTGCCCCCCCACGCGATCCCCACCCCCCGCGCTCATTGAGAGACCTGGAGAATGGTTATGCCAAGCCTTCTCGCGCATAACTTCGCGCCCTCGAGGGCGGACACCTTCGCCCCCTCGAGGGCAATTTTGTTCTTCGGGCTCCAGCAGGTGCTGGTCCAGCCGCGACAGCGCCGCCAGGCAGCCGTCCGCGAGCGCCTGCAAGAACGTCACCACCTGCGCCAACGGGGGCACGCCGGGGGCCGCCTCGCGCACCGTGGCCTCGGCGAAGTTGCGGTAGGCCTCCGTGGTGGCGAGGGTAGTCGTCGTGACCGTCCCCGTCGTCGTCCCCGTCGCTGTCGCCGTCGCCGTCGCCGTCGCCGTCGCCGTCGTCGTCGTCGTCGTCGTCGTCGCCGCTTTCGCAGATTTGCTGCGTCGTCGCCGTGATCGTCCTCGATCGCTGTTCTCTCGTCCGTCTCGTCCTCGTCGTATTCCCCCCCGTCCCCCCAAACTTTCGGCGTCTTGGAGGGAAGTCAGGGTGGGCGTGTGTTTCGCAATGGTCAGCCTCCTGGGAGAAAGCTTCACGAAACGTCGACCCTAGATCCCCATTTCGCAACGAAGGGCGTTGCACAAAAATGTCGAGGCCCTTGCTCACTTGCCTTAAGTCCGGCCTGTCCCCCTACAGGGGGATTTCCGACGAATAATTACCCTGCGAGGTACCCAACACTTTCTATACATCTGGTGCTTACATTCGGGACCACTCAATGCTGTCGGGCATGCTGAAAAACCCGCAGTGCGGAAGAAGAGCACCCATCAGTGAACTCAGAAGGGCGCAGCGAGAAAAGCAGCGGCAACGCGTCACACGTACCTCAGCTGGGCCTCCCAGTCCGCTGGGCCTCCCAAGAGCCCACGAAAGTCCGCGACAATTGCGCAGATCGCAACCCCTCCAGGGCGCCGCGAAGTCTCGAACTGGTCCGCGTGGGACGTATTTCCGCGGGGCCTCCCAGGAGCCCACGAAAGTGGCGACAATTGCGCAGATCGCAGCCCCCCAGGGCGCCGCGAGGTCTCGAGGTGGTTCGCACGGGACGTACCTCAGCTGGGCCTCCCAGGAGCCTACGGAAGTTGCGACAATTGCGCAGATCGCAGCTCCCGAAAGCACCGCGAGGTCCCGAGGGGGGCCCACGAAAGTGGCGACAATTTCGCAGATCGCAACTCCCCCGGGCGCCGCGAGGTCTCGAGGTGGTCCGCGTGGGACGTACCTCCGCGAGGGTTCCCAGGAGACAACGAAAGCGGCGACAGTTGCGCAGATCGCAGCCCCCCAGGGCGCCGCGAGGTCTCGAGGTGGTCCGCGTGGGACGTACCTCCGCTGGGCCTCCCAAGAACCCACGAAAGTGGCGACAATTGCGCAGATCGCAGCCCCCCCAGGGCGCCGCGAGGTCTCGAGGTGGTCCGCGTGTGACGTATTTCCGCTGGGCCCCCCAAGAAACAACGAAAATTGCTACAATTTCGCAGATCGCAGCCCCCAAGGGCACCGCGAAGTCTCGAGGTGGTCCGCGTGGGACGTACCTCCGCTGGGCCTCCCAGGAGCCCGCGAAAGTGGCGACAATTTCGCAGATCGCAGCCCCCCAGGGCGCCGCGAGGTCTCGAGGTGGTCCGCGTGGGACGTACCTCCGCTGGGCCTCCCAGGAGCCCACGAACGAACGAAGCTGCCATACGCCAAAAGCGCGTGGGCAAGGACAAGCAGAGCGACACGCCAAACGCGCGCAATAAACAATTACGTCAAGCAGCCTGCCAAAATACAAAGACACGAAATTCAACATAGTAAGATAAAGCGCCCGGCTGTGAAGCAGAAGCAGAATAAAGCAGAGCGCCCCACGACTGTGAAGCACAGCGCCTTCTTTGCACTGCTAATCATCGGTGTGAGCCCGGCGTGGGTGGACATAGCCCGCTGTCGCCGGACAGCTGATGCGATGCGATATTCCTTGAAAGCGCATCGGCGCCACCTGTGAGGAACAGGAGGAAGAGGAGGAGGAGGAGGAAACAACCAATGCGAATGTATGAAACTATTCGTGTACGCTGTACAAAGCAAAATGTGGAACGAATTCAGATCACGAGTTTTCGTCAGTGAGGCAAAGCATCAGGGCGGATCCAGAACAAAAGCAATTGCGAATCTTATTGCATAGGCATTTTGCCCATTCGTGTCTTGGGCGCGGGGCGCCCGCGCGCACAGGTCACTGACCAGTTTCGCACCATCTGGTTGAAATAGTCAATATCCCCAACACATCTGCACCAGTTGCCCGTCCTATCTTTCCAAACCATGCAAATTGATGCTTAAATAATTGAGAACTGCATGGCTGCACCCCGGTTTTTTCCAGGACGGTTCTGTGGGCTAAATTGAGAAGTTGCCGTAGACAGCGCGCTTGGAATCCATCCAGTCTCCTCTTTTCTTGTTTGTTCAGCCAAACTGAGTTTACATCATACATGACTTTGCTTGTTATGAGTGCCCCGAACACTTCGAATTGTCTTCGCGTGCCGACTGCGGTGTGTTTCCATGCTCTAGCATATCGTTGAAATTATCCCCATGCGGCCCCCAATATCTTGCTTAATTCGTGCTTGAGTTTCCCATCGCTGTAAATAGACGCCCCCAAATACTGCACTGTCCCACTTGCTATAATTAGATTGCCATTTGGGTCGCGCAAACTGAAATGGCAGCCAAGTTGAAGCAATTGGCATTTGTTCCAATGTAGTTCCATGCCAATTTCTGCACCAGCTTCCGCGATCGCGTCTAAGACGCGCTGCAAGCAAGTCTCGCGTTGACCAACAAGAAGGGTATCATCGGCATACAGAAGAATAGATGTTTCCCCATCCCTCAATGATCGGAGCGCGTCTTCTCCCAGTTTGTCCTCTGCGCGCTTGATTACGACATTCATGACCATCACAAACAGAAAGGGTGAAAATGGGCATCCCTGGGCTATGCCAGACAATTGGTTCCGCACCTGGGACCTCTTCGAACCTTCTGCCACGCAAGAATTTCTGTTTTCATACATGTTATCAATGATGCTAAACATGTTGTCTGGCACGCGAGATTTCCCCAAAACTTTCAAAACAGCTGGAACACGAATAGAATCAAACGCATTTTCCCAGTCCAGGGCCAACGAAGCAATTTTCCCATCTCGCTGTGCATGCGCAATTACAACATGCCGGCGCACTGCGTGCACAACATCGGACGTGCCCCGTTTCCTTCTGAATCCAAAATGGATTGATGATAGTCGTTGTTTTAGCACCTGCGTGTTGAAGTTTTCCCAATAGCAAAGTTGCAAGCAATTTGTACATAACAAATAACAAACTGATAGGGCGGTAATTGTCGCATTGATCGACGTGGATTTTGTTTTTTGTATATTGTTGATACAAGAGCGTGTCGCCATTCTGACGGCATTTGCTTTGCTTTCCAACATGTATTTACAAGTGTCGCAATCCATCGCACTGCTTGAAGACGAGCGCCAAAGCTTTCCAGCTTTCGGCTGGGATGTCATCAGGTCCGCTGGCTTTCCGACGTTTCAACTTCGATATTGCCCTTCCCACTTCTTTATCGTCTAAACCATCGTCAGGGATGTGTAGAGGAGGTCCCAGGGAGCCCGTGTCCACGAGAGTCGCCAGACGCACTTTCCATTGGACCTTTTCCAAGAACTCAGCCATTGAATCTGCTTTTTCTTCGCTGTCCACTAATTCGCCCTTCAGATTACGGAGCCTTCCTTGTTTGTGTGGTTTTGGCCGGCATGCCTTCTTTATGGCATCCCACTCCCCGGCGCCGATTGTGGCATCAGCCTATGCAGTCTTAGCTTGTTTAAGAGATTTCCGTACTTTTTTCAACAGTCGTTTTTCCAATATCTTGTTGTTTCGGGAGCGCGCAATGCTTCGATCAGCAATCAAGTCCAAAGTGCGTTGCGTAACCCATGGCTGTTTTGTTGCACGTTCCCGGCGTGGAAATTCAGCTTTCCCTGACGCCACCGCTTCCTTTGCATTAGCCCGAAGAGATTCCACATTATCTGCCACCACCGCATTTGCCATAAATGTTTGTATGAATTGTTCGCGAGTGCGGTCGTTGTCCAAAGCTCCATCATCGCACGTTCGACTCTGATTTTGCCGTTCTGTTGGCATACGTACTGCCATGTCAAACGTGACCAAGTAGTGATCAAGCGTGGGACGTACCTCCGCTGGGCCTCCCAGGAGCCCACGAAAGTGACGACAATTTCGCAGATCGCAGCCCCCCAGGGCGCCGCGAGGTCTCAAGGTGGTCCGCGTTGGACGCATCTCCGCTGGGCCTCCCAGGAGCCCACGAAAGTGGCGACAATTTCGCAGATCGCAGCCCCCCAGGGCGCCGCGAGGTCTCGAGGTGGTCCGCGTTGGACGTACCTCCGCTGGGCCTCCCAGGAGCCCACGAAAGTGGCGACAATTTCGCAGATCGCAGCTCCCCAGGGCGCCGCGAGGTCTCGAGGTGGTCCGCGTTGGACGTACCTCCGCTGGGCCTCCCAGGAGCCCACGAAAGTGGCGACAGTTTCGCAGATCGCAGCCCCCCAGAGGGCGGCGAGGTCTCGAGGTGGTCCGCGTTGGATGCACCTCCGCTGGGCCTCCCAGGAGCCCACGAAAGTGGCGACAGTTTCGCAGATCGCAGCCCGACGGCACGAGAGAAGAGGAGAGGGGAACACAGGAGACAGGAGCGGAGGAGGGGAGGAGGGGGGAGGAGAAGAAAGAGGATGGGGCGATCACACTGCTCTAGTCAAAACGAGTACCCAACCATAGGAGGGTTGGGAAGAAAAAATATTGAAACAATACTCCGAAATTGGCAACAAAAAAAAGAGTCCCCAGACTATTGTTTGACTATCCTCCTGTAGGGGGACAAGCCCGACTTAACACTTGCAGCCCCGCAGCATCTCGAGGCTGGCAACTTGCAGGGCGATTGCCTCAGCAAGAAGAGAACCGATCGGCCCCCTCATGGGCCCCTGGTCCCTCTCTCCCTCCCTGGAAGGAAATCCGCCACCGTGCCTGCTTCACGTTGAGGCGCGAAGGACTGCCAAGTGTTGCCTGGCAGGGTTTCTGTAGTCTTCTGAGGGACCCTCCCCTCCCTCGCGCCCAGGTGACTGCACCGCCCCTACTCCAGGGAGGGGTCCTGGGTGGCCATGGCGCCTCCCTGAAGCTCTTCAAGGCTTCCATGACGGCACAGGAGGTCCCCAAGACGGTCCAAGAGGGCTCCGAGTCGCCGAACGATCGCTTGAAGACGCCCAAGACGGCCTCACGATGGTCCA